ACTCTCATAAATAGCATTGTGATAATGACCAAATCATCAATGTTAGTGTTCTGAGTGAGGGATAAATATTGACCAGCATAATAGGGAAGGAAATACTCCTCAGCACCTCTCCATAACAGTGCCATCTAATATTTTACCGTGACCTGGGAAGGAAGGTGAACATAGAACAGTACAGCACAGTATAGGCCCTTCGGCCCACAATGTTGTGCTGACCTATTATCCTACTAAGATCAAACTACCCTGCATACCCTACATTTTACTATCATCCATGTGCCTATCCAAGAGTCGCTTAAAAGTCTCTAAAGTATCTGACTCCATTACCACTGCCGGCAGCACATTCCACACACCCACCACTCTCTGTGTAAAGAATCTACCTCTGACATCTCCCTATACCTTCCTCCAATCACCTTAAAAATTATGCCCCCTCGTAATAGTCATTTCCACCCTGGGAAAAAGTCTCTGACTATCCACTCTATCTATGCCTCTCATCATCTTGTACACATACATCAAGGTGGATCCTTGATTTAATGTTTCATACAAAAGATTATGCCCCTATGGCAGTGCAGCACTCCCTCAGCACTGTACGGATGTGTCAAACTATATTTAATGTTTGAGGTTCCAGATGGTAGCTACAATATTCCCTTCATGTCATACCACTGAGCAGGTATACTCAGTCAGGCAACAATTTAAACAGTTTGGGAAACTCTGGAGATCTTTCTTTCATTTGCTAGTGCCATCAAAAAGAGAGACTTATTACCAAATGCCTTTAAAGCCATCACTGCAGAAATACATTTAGAATTAATGGAAATGAACTCAAATTTGAAAACCCTTAAATAGACTCCTTACAGTGTGAAAAGTGGCCATTTGGCCCATTGACTCTGCACCAACCCTCTGGGAAACATCCCCTCCAGACTCCATACCTCTCAGCCTATTCCCATTACCCCACATTTCACCATGACTGGTCCACCTAGCCTACACACTATGGACAATTTTCCATGGCCAATCTAACTAAGCACCTCTGCACCCAGCAGAAACCCACACAGAGATGAGCAAACTCCACACATACAGTCACCCAAGGCTAGACTTGAACCCACGTCCCTGGCACTGTGAGGCAGCAGTGCTAACCACTGAGCCACATGCCATCCTAAATATGACATGAAATTGAAAATTTTCTCCTGTGCACATGCATGCGAACAGTTCGCTTATCAAAAGCAGTTAATGCTATCTTTTATTAACAGCTTAAAAAATGCACGATGAAATGAAACTAAGAATAGAAAACGTAGTGACAGATCAAATAGTCTGTTCCATGGTATAGCCCCCACACTGCTCAGACTCTGGAAATGTCATTTGTGGAATCTGTCTAGTCAGGATTAAATAATGTAGATTGTAATGTTGGAATGAAAGCATGGCATTTCACTTAATTGCCTTTGGGAGACAGAGAATTTTCACAAGCCTTGCAAGTTTTACCTGTAGTTATTCTCCTTCCTCAGGGGATTAGTTTGAGATAATGCCTACTATGGTGTACTTTGTAAATGCAAAGTTCAATTGGAAAGAACAGGCTTCATGATCAAAATGACATCTTCCCTTTTCTTACCACTTTTTCATGAGTGAGGATGATGCATTGATGCATTGCACTGTACACGAATGATATTTTGAAGTATGTTTGGATAAACATATTACTAACTTAGAACAGAATGAATTTCTGTCAGTGCGGGAACAGGTAATGAGGAGGAAGCGCTTTCATAAATTGTGACTTAATAGTCATCATTTGCCTGTGAATAAGAGATATTTACTGAATTGTAAAATGATTCTAATATTTCAAGTCTGGCTCATATAACAGCAGTTTAGAACAATTTGTTTAGAGCAATTTAGTAGTTCACAGCACAAAGACACTGCCCAGATAGAAACTGAAATGTTAGCCGTGATTTTCACTTGACAATGGGGTTCAAAATGAGAGTAGGAATGCATTGAAAATCGTGCTTCTAGAAGGCAAATCGGTGTCTCATTGTCTCTAGGGCATGCTCCATTTTCAAATTGAGGCTACAGGGAGGGAGTCAGGAACCTACGAATAGCTAATGTCTTGTTAAACTCCTTGAGGAGCTTCTTAATGGGCAGAAAGGTAATTTTATAGTAGTAAACCACTGAAGCCAAAGAGTGTACGGCTGTTGGGTTTGATATGGTCAGAAGTTTCGATTTTTTCTAACAATGCTGAAATATTTTGCGACCTGTGAGATATTGAGCCAGATGCTGCTCATTACCTTGGGTTTGACCATTTGGCCACTTCTGAGTTTGATGGTGTTATTCATCTTTTGAGGTCAGCATCCTCATTACAAGGCCCCAGTGTGGCTGTCATTTGCATTTTTCCCAAGTGTGTACATCAGCTCCCACCTCCTGGTATTGTTCAGTGTTATTCATTGGATACTGAGCTCGCCTCTGCCCAATTATGACAATTACGTTTGAACATAACTTCATGTGAACACAGATTAGTGAGCAGGTCAGGACCTGGAAATTATCTGGGTATCAGGTACCCAACCCTGAAATGAAAATGAAGCCCATTTGGTTAGGGAATGTTCCAGCTTCCATGTGAAAACCTTTTAGATTGTATAAGTTGATTGCATACACTTATCTGTACTGACTTAAGAATGCTTACCAGAATAAGACCCATTAAACCATCAGTCCAGCATCAGTTGAAATTAGATGACATTAGCTCAAACACGGGACCTGGGGATTTTGTTTAAAAACTGATGACCTCCCATTAAAGGTTGAAATGAGGAGAAATCTTTTCTCCTTGAGGGTTGTTTGTCTGTAGAAATTGAATTTTCCTCAGTGCAATTCCTCTACACTCGCAACTCTTCTAAAGTCTCCATAAGAATTAGAGGCTTCTGATCATTTGGATAAAATTAAATAACTTAGTTGCTCAGAAAATGTTAGACAATTACTTACATAGTCTAACTCTTGAATAACTATTAAACTAACCCCTTACTGACCTCACTCACTCCTAACTCTACCTTCCCAAATGCCTTACATATCTGATGCCCTTAGATAGACAACACTGTAGCCCCTAGAAGCTGACATCTACCCCTCTGTCCCAGGACCCAACATCATTCCCAGGATCTGACACCTCACACTACACTGGACCCATCTCCTGGACTTACAAGAGATTGCAGAAATTGAGCATCCCAAGGAATGCGACTTACAATAAAGTAACGAATTGAGCTCCTTAAGGAGTGCAACTTACAATAGATCATAGAAATTGACCGTCTGTAGGACTGCGAATTACAGTAGAGTGTGACTCACAACAAATCGCAGAAATTGAACATCTCAAGGAGTATGACTAGGGGACAAATTTTTAAGGTGAGAGGAGAGAGATTTAAAAAAAGACTTGAGGGGCAATTTTTCTTATACAGATAGTGGTTTGTGTGTGGAATGAACTTCCTTAGGAAATGGTGGATGCCGGCACAGTTATGTCTAAAAGATACTTAGGTAAGTACATGAAGAGGAAAGGTTAGGAGGGTTATAGGCCAGGAGCAGGCAATTAGGACTAGTTTAGTTTGGGATTATGTTTGGCATGGATTTGTTGGGACAAAGGGTCTGTCTCCATGCTGTATGACTCTATGACTAGAATAAGTTGCAGATCTGCTCTCCTGAAAGAGTGTAACTTACAATAGAGTGCTGGAGTTGAATGTCACAAGGAGTTTGACTTACAATAGATCATAGAAATTGAGCATCTCTAGAACTGTGATTTTCTACAGAATGCCATGTTGAGCTCCTCGAGGAATGTGAGTTACAGTAGGTCACAGAAATTGAGCATCTCAAGGTATGCAACTCACAACAGAGTGCCAGAGTTGAGGTCCTCAGGAAATGTGACTTACAATAATGTGCCAGAATTGACTGTTTCAAGGAGTGAGACTTACAATAGTGTGCCAGTGTGTTGCTTAAGGACTTCAGTGCATGAAGCAAGGAGCTATTTGTTTGTGCCTGCCTATTAAAGCAACTGATTGGTCTATAGAAAAGAAAACCTTAAAAACTGAGGATGCTGGAAATCAGAAACACAAACAGAAATCATTGGAAAAACTCAGCTGGTTCTGCAGCATCTGTGGAGAGAAAGCAAACTAACCGTTTCGGATCCAGTGGCCCTTCTTCAGAACTGAAGATGGGGTGGGGGGAGGGGGAAGGAGGAAACGATATGTGGTGATGGAGCCCAGAGAGAGAATCAATGAGGGAATCAATGGTTACTAATGAGAATGAGTGAGGGTGAGTCCAGTGGAGTGTGTGGGCAGTGAGGGTGAAGGCAGAGGAGTGTTTGCGCAGTCAGGGTGAGGGTAGTGAAGGGTGTGGACAGTGAGGGTATATGGAGGGTGAGGGTATATGGAGGGTAAAGGTAGTGGAGGGTGAGGGTAGTGGACAGTGAGGGTATATGGAGGGAGAGGGTATATGGAGGGGCAGAGTAGTGGAGGGTGAGGATAGTGGAGGGTGAGGGTATATGGAGGGTGAGGGTATATGGAGGGTGAGGGTAGTGGAGGGTGAGGGTATATGGAGGGTGAAGGTAGTGGAGGGTGAGGGTATATGGAGGGTGAAGGTAGTGGAGGGTGAGGGTATATGGAGGGTGAGGGTATATGGAGGGTGAGGGTATATGGAGGGTGAAGGTAGTGGAGGGTGAGGGTATGTGGAGGGTGAGGGTATATGGAGGGTGAGGGTATATGGAGGGTGAAGGTAGTGGAGGGTGAAGGTATATGGAGGGTGAAGGTAGTGGAAGGTGAGGGTAGTGGAAGGTGAGGGTAGTGGAGTGTATGAACATTGCACTGACTGTCTGTTGCAGACGGGGGCGCAGGCGCATTGTGATCCAACTGTAACAATTGTCGAAGCGGAAGTTTGCGTTTGGAGCAGAGAGAGTGAGTGAGAGTAAGGATAGGAGAGCTGGGGGCACAGAGACACACTGACTGACCCACCCGGGTGCTGGGGGCACAGAGAC